CTCAGGACACAAAAAACCTGTGTGGGTTTAGGGATTTGTGAAGAAAATTTCTGCATATTTGACCTAGGAGTGAGACTGATGGTGGAAAAATGGGATCCCACTAAGCACAAATATTACAATGATGAAAATACTTACTTGCCTTCAAAAGCATTTGTGATAGCAAAGTGTTGCAGCTGAGAAGATTTGTTTTCAAATGAGGAGTGCTGAGATTGTCATGGATAGAGAGGAGAATTTGTTGCCTTTGAAGGATTGAAAAGATCTAAGCACACACAGAATCACAGAATGGTCTGGATTGGAAAGAACCTTCAAGATCATCTTGTTCCAACCTTTTGCCATGGGCAGGGACACCTTCCACTACCCCAGGTTGCTCAAAGCCCTGTCCAGCCTGGCCTTGGACACTTTCAGGGATGGAGCAGCCACAGCTTCTCTGAGGAACCTCAGGGCCTCACCATCCTCACAGTAAGGAATTTCTTGTAAATATAAAATCTAAACTTGGTGTCTGTCAATCTGGCAGGTATCTTCTGTCCAGAATTGTCTTTGGAGACTGGAGAATGCAGAATGTCTCTGAGGAAATACATGAAGGTAGACTTTTGAAACAGGAGATTTTCCTGCTGGAAGGTACACAGGGTGGTTTTGGAGCAGATGGACTCATGAACTGGTCTCATTAGCAAGCAAATATTGCTGCCTAGGAAGAAATATGTTCCCCGTTTTGTCTGAGGAGCAGCAGCAGCAGCATTTCTGCCTCAATCAAAAAACTGAAGTCCTGACTTTAAAGGAGTCACTGGACCAAGGGGAGGTCTGTCCACGAAGCAATACCTGCAGGCTCATCTTTAAGATTTCTTTGGAAATCTGTTGCAGTTGAAGCAAGGACCAGCAGAGGTTCATGCTTCTGTCAATGCTGAATTGGTTCTTAACTGTGGAATACTCCATGAGAGCTCATCCAACAGCTGGAGATCTCCTTCCAAACTGCAAAGTATTCAAAACTCAGCCCCCCACAAACAGCTGTGCTTGAAAACGCAGTATATAGTCTGCCTAGGTCTTACCTTCTTATTATAATGCTCAGTTGTTTAACTTCCAACACTTCTTTTCTATCTTAGGGTAGCAAATCATAGAAAGATTTCTTCACAAGCCTGAAGATTCTTGTCCTTCTTCATTAATGCCTGTGTGGCATTCCCATGCCTGAAATTTCCTGGCTTCTGGAAAATGTAGTGCACAGCACACGAGCAATATTTGCTGTGCTTGCCCGTGTCTTTGTTGAGCTCACTTGACAGAAGTTTTGTGTAGGGCTTTTCACGTTTGCCTGGATTATTAATGCCAAACCAAACGTCTGAACAAATACTGCGGGAGCGCATTTACGTGCCAAAGAGTCCAGGTGGGAAATAGATTTCAGAATTTGTCCTTGCAATATCCGGAAGGTGAGAGGGGAGATTCCTGCCGAGGTTCTGCAGACGCCCCTGTGCAGTTCCTGCGCTGGGAGCCCAGTGGCGCTCTTGGCCAGAGCTGGGCGAGGTGGGGGGACACCAGCGACATCTGCCACCAGTCAGATCCTGCGGGGCTGGCACCGGCTGAGAGCCCCGCAGAAACGCCCCGGCTGCTCCGAAACACGCCCTGGTTTAAAGCCTTTCCAAAGGATGTGCTGGGAATCGCCGCATTGAGACGTGCCTAGAAAAGCCAGGAGCACAAGGCGAAACAGGGAGTGTGAAGGACGGAGACGGCCTCCCTGGGCCATCCCTGCGGGATTTGGGAGGATTTCACCGGAGGTCTGGGGTAACTCAGATTCGGTTTGTTGGTAAGCACCGGGAGAAATAAATGCTTGCTTTTAGCAGACTGATGGGGAAAGCACTCACTGTACTGAATGCAGACAGAGGCAGGAGGCTGGTTTATCTCTCGGGAAATGAGCCTCAGAACAGGTACCTGCCGTATTTACAATATAACCCAGAGATAAAAGGTTAGGAATGATTCTCCCAGCTTTTCTCACTCTTGCATCCAGCTGATATCTCCGGCCACCAGCTCCGCGGGACAGCCAGGAATTCGGGGCGCTGCCTGCTTGTTACAGAGGCGAAAGATGAAATCCATTCTGGGAACTGTCTGGGAAGGAGAGGCCGGGAGTGTTGGTCCATCTTTGCACTCAGGCATGGAAAACGCTGTGTCTCTGGGAAGCATCTGCTCTTCTGCACTGCAGGCTCCTCCCAAGCCATCCTATCCCCAGGGTGTGCTGGAGGGGAGTGGACAGTGGCTCCAGGGATGGAGAAGGAGCCTTTATCCAGAGGGACCACAAAACCTGGCACGAGACCTCTGAGATTTCACTCGGATTCAGATCTGAATTTCCGGATGAAAGACCAAGAAGGATTTTGGAAATTGAAATTGCTCGGGCTTCAGAAGTGCGGGAAGAATTTTCTTTTAGTGCTTCTGTGTTCTGAAAGACGGAGTCATACCAGGAACTGAGCAGGATATGTTGCCGTAATGCTTTTCTAGCATACAGTTTTAAGTGGCAGAGTGAAGAGGACTGATTTTTTGGTTCTTAGGATAAAGATATCATCAACAAAAGATGAGAAAGCCTGTGATATCACTGTATGACTGAAGAGATATGTGAATTCTCTGGCACACGTATGGAAATCTTTCTTATTGCGAGTATAGTTCCTTCGTTTGTCCTAAAATACAGTGTGCCTCCATCTGGCTGTATTCAAACTTCTTTCAAATTAATACTCATCGGTTTCACTGTTGTGACACAAAGGAAAACACCAGCATTAACTCTTTAGTGCTGCACGGTAAGTGACCTTTGTCATTTCTCTAAAATCTGGAAGAATATAAACGTCTGTCGAAGAGCAGCATCTTCTGATGAGCAAAGATATTGTTACAGCCGAGAGCTGCGTTAAGGATCACTGTTCTTCTTACACCCTTCTAGACCCGAAGCTGAAGGACACCATTTCCTTTCTGAAATGATGGGAGCAACAATAACAGGTCCTGCACTCAGGGTAGGGTCTGTGGAAGTTCTTCTCGGCCTGTGTCTATCCCCCTACTGCAGTGATGCCAAAGATTAGGATAAGTAGAAGGAAACACTCATTTCCCCCTCGGAGATGACGAGAACTGAAAAAGTGGGCACAAAGCAAGTGGATTACAGGCGTCACTGTTATTTTTGGGTGGCGAAAAGAGAGAGAAGCCACTTTCCCAGCGCATCTGCTGCTGTGCTTGGCCTATGGTTTGTCTTCTCTGTTGGTGATCATGATCGCAGCTCCTGAAAGCGGCCCTAGAAGGAAGAAGAACCAAAGTGTCCTTTGATGAATGTTAATGGTTTAGATCTTATCACTCTTCCAAGCCAAGGGGCGAGAAAAGGAAGTCGCCGAGAATAAGTCAACCCTAGTTGTTACTTTTTTCTTCTGATCCAGCCACGAGGTTTTTATTTTAAAACAAATGAAAACATCAGAGAATTTCCTGGACTTGACCTCTTGGCTATTGTTTCACAGCGTCACTCCTTTTAGCAAACAAAAATAAAAGGAAAACATCTAGGAAATTAAAGAAAATGTACCAAAACCAAGAAGGTTATGATACTTCATAATAATAATAATTTTTAAAAGAGTAGTTTCTTTTATAGTAAAATCTGAACTAAAAATGCTCGAACCATAGGTAAATAATGCAAGCACTGGTTTTTTTCTCCTTAATTTTTTAATTCTCTAAGAGAAATGTTGGGTTGGGCTCGCAGGTAGCTGTGCACATCCTCAGCGCAGTCGAGGTTTAAATCTGTCTTTGGGGCCAGCCATGCCTGCCTGATCCTGAGGTTTTTATCCCATTCCCGGCATGAATCCGGCCTCACAGTACCCGACAGTGCTCAGAACCCCTCGGTATCCCCTTCCACCTCCGTTTTCCCCTGGCTGTTCCTAACAGGTCTGTTGTAGACATCTTTCTCTTAGCGAGTTTGATTCAGCCTCTAATCATCTCGTAATAAGCCTTGCAAATTCCTCAAACACCTCGTCAACAATTTGTTATCTTCCATGACGCTTTTCCTGATAATCCGTGAGAATCTTTAGAACTTTTTTTCTTTTCCTTTATCTTTTACAGAGTTTCTTGTTGAACCTCTGGAGTCTACGTTTCAATTCTTCTCTTAATGGCCCACCAATTAGTGTGATGAGAGCCTTATCTTTGCTATTGTTATCTCCTCGTTAGCGTTTCTGAATCGAGGACTTTAACTTAGGAGCTCCCTGTTTGTTTTTTTGCCTTTTGTATTAACTGGCTGGTGGCCATACACCCTTAGGTAGATACAGGATTTCAAGTTTAACATCTATTTCACACAGAAAACTGCATAAATCGGGCGAGGTGTGACACCCACTAGGAAAAAAACATCATAAATGTGATGTGCCCTAGAACAGCATCCTCATCCTGCTGTGATGGCGAGCTATGGTGATGGTGAAACGATTACTTAGGGACAATTCTTCGTCAGCTCTCCGGCACCAGCTCTCATTTCCAATAGCTTCTCTGACTCTCCACACTTGCTAATCGTCCTGTGATGATTAACAAGTGGAGGAGAGAAGGGAAAATCTCTTCTGCGGCAGTGGAACTTGCGGTGCCTACACAACGCAACCCAAAAGCTGTGTCTGAAGAGTTCGTGGTTGCGAGTTGGGATGTGATACCCAGAGCAGCAGGGATCCCGCTTTCGAGAGAGGAGAGCATTTACAGCTCACCTTTTTATTTCGCTTTGGCACAAAGAGCGCGGATTCAAGCAGCAAACCCCGAACCAGCAGCGCTGCCCCGGCTGAGAGGAAATATTCCCCCTTCCGACGCTGGGTGGGGATGTTGGCCGCGGACCGGCGTTCCTCGGTCCGCCCCGGGTTTGCAGACACAGGGAGACAAAAAACCGTGCGAGCTGAGCTGCACGCAAAGGAGTCGGAGCACTCGGGGGCTTCCAGATTCCTTCACCCGCGGCTTGCTGGCCTACACCGCTCTTCGGACGCTACTAAAAAATGCTGGGAGCCGCCGAGGACAGTGGATGGATTTTTTGGAGAGAGATGGCGTGTGAGAGACGGAGCGGAGACAGAAAGAGGCAAGTGATCTTGTTTATTCTGTGTGTTTGCGTATGTCAGAGCGGGGCTGAAACCCTCCGCTACTCCCTGCCGGAGGAAATGGAGAGGGACTCCTTTGTCGCCAATATTGCAAAGGACCTGGGGGTTCCTCTGAGCCAGCTTGCTGCTCGCAAGGCCCGCGTTGTGTCCGAGGGGAACGAGCAGCTTTTCCGACTCAATCAAAACACCGGAGTCCTGACGGCAAAGGAATCGCTGGACCGAGAGGAGATCTGTCCACAGAGCGATATCTGCACGCTCGTCTTTAAGATATTCTTTGAAAATCCATTGCAGCTTATCCGAGGGGAGGTGGAAATTCGTGACGTAAATGACAACTCGCCCGTGTTCCCGGAGAAGGAGATGGTTTTAAAAATTCTAGAAACAGCAGCTCCTGGGTCCCGTTTCCCCCTGGAAAGCGCCCAGGACAAGGACGTGGGCATTAATGGTTTGCAAAACTACAGCCTCGGGCCCAATCCTCATTTCTCCCTCGCTACTGGAACAGCGAAAGACGGAGTAAAATACCTGGAACTTGTCCTACAGCGCCAGCTCGATCGTGAAGAGCAGGGAGAACTGAATTTACTTCTCACCGCCACCGACGGGGGATCACCACCCAGGTCGGGCACGGCTCAGGTCCGGATCGTGGTGCTGGATGCCAATGACAACATCCCGGTCTTCGAAAGGGAGACCTACGAGGTGCGCCTGGCTGAGAACAGCCCCGTGGAGCAGCTGGTGGTCAGAGTCGCTGCCACGGACCCCGATGAAGGGTCCAACGGGAAAGTGCGCTATGCCTTCACCCAGACATCGGAGCGAGCCCGGCAGCTCTTCCAGCTGAACCCAAGCACCGGTGAAATACGAGTCGCGGGCAAGCTGGATTTTGAGGAAGCAAAATCCCACAAGATGGTGGTGAAAGCCACGGACGGCGGGGGGTTATCTGCGCATTGTAAAGTGCAGGTGGAGGTCCTGGACGTGAATGACAACGCTCCGGAGATAGCGCTCACCTCCCTCACCACCACCATTCCCGAGGACGCCCCGCCACGCACCGTGGTGGCTCTGTTCAGTGTGAGGGACCGGGACTCCGGCGACAACGGCAGGACGGAGTGTTCCATCGACGGGGACTTGCCGTTCAGTCTCACCCCCACATTTGATAATTACTACGAACTGAGAACAAACGCGGCTCTGGACAGGGAGAGGACGGCGGAATATAACATCACCATCACAGCCACGGACTGGGGCAGAAAGAGGCTGAGCTCTCAGGAAAGCATCTTCGTGCAGATATCGGATGTGAACGACAACCCCCCAGAGTTTACCCAGGAGGTTTACACCATGTCTGTCACGGAGAACAACAGCCCCATGCTCCGGATCGGCAGCGTGAAGGCCACGGACGCCGATGCAGGAAAAAACGCCCGTGTGAACTACGCACTGGTGCTGCAGGAGGGCAAAGAGCAGCCCGATGTGTCCGTCAACACTGAAAACGGGGATGTTTATATCCTCCGCCCGCTGGACTACGAGAAGGTCCCCTCCTTCGAGGTGACAGTGAGCGCCGCCGATGGTGGCTCCCCGCCGCTCAGCACCCAGGCCGTGCTTCGCGTGGTCGTGCGGGACGAGAACGACA